CGTGCCTAGATGTCGAACAGCTAAACGTTGGCAAGTTGCCAGGCAACCCGAGGCGGATTGCCAGATGAAATGTTTAATTTTTCTTGAGGTTGGAATCTTCCACGATTGCGCCTGGAGTGCCGTAACACTAGGTCCCTGAAAAGGGAGGTCGCAATCTCCTCTGCGGCATGCTTGCGCAGCCAGATAACCTGTCTTAACGGTGTAATTCCCAGACTTGGTATGAGACCAGATAAATAAATCTCTCGAGAATGACGAACTCGGATGCAGGCCTAGGATGGCGGGGACATCTTCTGGTAAGACAAGATCTTGCAATTTGTCTACCTTCCAACGTTTTGACACGGGATCGATGAGGTCATTTACGAAGAGGTTAGGATCTGGATTGGCGAGCCTACTCTTGGCTGGGCGAGCCGGTATGGACGGAATCCATGGATCAGACCAAACTCGTGTATCAAATCCTGAGCCAATATTTTTCCTCAACCCTGATAGAAGGAGAGGTCTAGCCGCCAGCATGCTGCGCCATCCATAAGAGGGTAGGTAAGACGGTTTGACAGACAACGGGCTGGAGTACTTGAAATAACGTCCTCTCAAGACTCGAGCCAACAAAGAGTCTGGGAAACGAACCAGTCTCCAAAGCTGCTTGGCGAGAAGCGCTAGGTTAAAATCTTCAAACACTTTGAACCCCAATCCTCCCTCCGAAAGTGGCGAGCATAGTTTGTCCCAAGCAATCCAATGAAGTCCCTTACTTTCTTGTTTATTGCTCCACCAGAAATTAGAAATAGCACTACTCAGCTTCGATCGTATATTCTTTGGTAGAAGGAAACACGACATAACGTACGTCGGCAAGGCCTGAGCCACTGACTTTATGAGGATCTCTTTGCCTCCCTTTGAAAGGAATTTAGCTGACCAAGTATTAATTCGGCTTTTAAGCCGGTCTTGTACAAAGGCAAAGACCGTAGCTTTGGAACCATGAATCTTTTCTGGGAGGCCTAAGTAGGTACCCATCCCTCCTTCTTGATGAATACCCAAGACTCTCTTAGTATCTGCTTTTGTCTGGGGTTGAACTTTGCTTCCAAACATTACAGAAGATTTAGCAAAATTTATCTGTTGTCCCGAAGCCTCGCCATATTGGCGGAGAATGGTAATGATTTCTTCACTTTGTTGACAGTCTGCCTTACAAAAGAAAAGGCTATCATCTGCGAATAGAAGGTGGGATACTGGAGGGCTAGCCAGGGAAAGGCGTAAACCTTGTATTTTGCCCATCCATTCTGCCTGCTTAATCCTGGCAATGAGAGCTTCAGTACAAAGGATAAAGAGGAAAGGCGATAGCGGGTCTCCCTGTCTAATACCTCGTGAGGGGACAATACTTCCTTTCGCCTCACCATTAATGAGGACTTGGTAAGAGACTGTCTCAATGCAAGCCATGCACATCTGAACCCATAGAGGTGAAAACCCGAGCTTCTTCATTAGCGCTCTCAGGAAAGGCCATTCCACACGATCATAGGCCTTGCTCATATCAGTCTTTATTGCCATAAACTTCTTTCGACATGAGGAGTTTGAACGAAGAGCATGAAAGTTTTCCTGAGCTATGAGAATGTTGTCAGTGATTAATCTTCTCGCCACAAAAGCGGATTGGGTTTCAGAGATCACCTTCGGAAGTAACCTCTTAAGCCTGTTAGACAAAACTTTAGAGATTATCTTATAGCCCACATTACATAGACTTATAGGCCGGAAACCCGACATTTCCTTTGGCCTGCCCGCTTTTGGTACTAGACAAATATTGGTCATGTTTAGTCTCGGGTCCAAGGTACCTGAATCGAAGAAGGACCGGACGGTAGCCAATAGGTCTGCACTTATCAAGGGCCAGAACCTTTGGTAGAAGAGGGCTGTCATCCCATCTGGCCCTGGAGCCTTCGTGGGATTCATCTCAAAGACAGCCTTTTTAACTTCTTCTAGTGAGACTTCCCTTGTTAGAGAGGAGTTCATATCATTTGTAACAATCTCGGGAACATCCCGGAGTATTTGGAATTCTTCGTCGTGGGCACTGGCTGTGAAGAGATTGTTAAAATACTCAACTGCTACTCGCTCGATACCCTCCTCCGACTCAATCCAACTGCCATCATGGTCTTGTAGTCCGATGATCCTGTTTATAGCCCTTCTTTGTTTCGTGGAAGCGTGGAAATATTTGGTGTTCTCATCACCCTCATCCAGCCAGTTAGCTCTACTCTTTTGTTTCCAGAAGATTTCTTCTTCTCTGAAAGCATCACAAAGCTTGTACTTGAGTTGCAAGATATCTTCAGGCTCACGATCCTCGTCTAATTGAGCTTCGTCTAGCTCTTTTGTCAGCTTTTCATAAGCTGAGCTGAATTGGAGTTTGCAGCATCGGTCTTCCTCCAATTTGAGATCGCTCGTCTACAGGATTGGATCTTTTTAACCAGGTCAGGCTCATTTGGAATTGGGACTCCCCATCCTAATTGGATGGCTTCTTCGAGCCCCTCCTTTCCCAGCCATCTCTTATCGAATTGAAAGCGCCTACTCAGCTTCTTCTCTTTCGATAAAATATTTGCCAGGATGGGGCGATGATCAGAACCCCAAAGACGTAAATACTCCACATTAGTGTGGGAAAAGATGGTGTGCCAATCTTCGTTACCAAGGGCTCTGTCAAGTCTGCATTTGATTAGACCATTCCGCCTTCTTCCTACCCAAGAAAACGAGTTGCCCTTAAACGGGAAATCGATCAAACCACAGTTGTGAATCATAGTTCTAAAGGGTAGAAAAGAGTTTTCTGATCTCTTCTTGCCCCCTTGTTTCTCATGATGGCCTGTTAACTCGTTAAAATCCCCAATCAAGAACCAAGGACCCTCTCGTACCACACCAATACGGGTAAGTCGTTCCCAAACAATTTCTCGGCACTTAACGACCGGATCTCCATAAACAAAAGACAAAAACACTTTGTTTCCATCAATAACAGTTTCTACATCAATCAAGCGATCATTAGAAGAGATAATAGTAGTAGGATAGTCATTAGAATAGAATAAAGCCAAACCTCCACTACACCCATCGGGTTCGACTGTAAAAAGATTATCATATCCTAATTCAAATTGTCTTTCTTCTAACTCGACTCGTACATTTTTAGTTTCAGAAAGGAACAAAAAACCTGGGAGGAATTTTCTGCGCATCTCCCTTAGCCTCTGAATTGCCAAGTATGTTCCAACTCCTTGACAATTCCAGGCGAGAATCCTCATATCTTCTTACTGGGTGGGTTCTGGGACCCCACCAAACCTGATCGAGACTTGGACTTCTTGTTAATTGCTGATGGAAACACCCCAGAGCGGGGGAGAGAAGAAGATGGTTTCCCATTCCGAGAACGAGCTGTCTGACTTTTCGCTTCAGCTCTCTTCTTCGGAGAGCCCGCATTAAGGATATTCATTTTCTTAGAAGCCATACCTAGCAGCTCGGTGGGGCCTTTATTCGTTTGAGACTTCGCTTCTGCTCGTCTTCTGCGGTGAGAAGCTTTTGACCCTGAAGCCTTTGGGTATTCAATTCGTTCCTTCGCAGGTCTGCGAGTGGGAGAAGGTGCAGCTTTGCTGTTAAGTGATAAAGAGGAGGGTGAGAGAGGTTGCTTCCTGCGGGATACTGGCTGGATCTGTTCTGAAACTGTGTGCTCCCCACTAACTTGCGCATCCTCCTCCTGCAGATTGTCTTCTAGCAGATCATCATTGTCTAATTCCTCCTGTTGCATAGTTAATTCCGTAATTAACTAAGTTTGTTGAATAATTAACGATTAATACGACACAGGCTTTCAGGAGATCGAGATAAAGTGTACAGTAAGCATGTGAATAAGGTTGATTGCACGAGGGGAATATTATTACTTCATTTTTGGTTGTCATTTTCCTTATTTTAATTTCCACAAAAAGCTCATCATTGCTTTTAAAAAATATGATTTATAAAGTTACTTTATTTAGTTGACAAAAACAAATTTGTTTATTTATTCTTCAGCAACTATTGATCTTTGTATTAAATTGTTTATATTTTATAACTTATTTAAGTTTTGGATTTAATTATCTTTTATTAAACGCGATTTCTACGTGAATATTATACACCATATCTTAATTCAATTGGTGTTTACTAAAACTGAATTTGTATAATCAAATAAAAACTTAACTTATATGTTTTTGTTAAGAACACAAAAATTAATAAATAAGAAATATTTATTTATTTGTAAAAATTTAATCAATAGAAAACAAAGACTAAATAATTCAAAAAATCATAATAAACTAAACAAACATAAATTAAACATTGAAATCTGAAAAAAAATCTTATATTGTGGAAGCAGAAAAAAAAAGAGGCTAAAATATCCTATAATTTATGATAGAGGGAATATGGTTTAACTTTAAAAAAAATTTATTCACGTTATAAATCATAAACATCGGACACATTTTATATTTTGTTATTACAATGTTAGCTGCAGTAATTAATTATAAACAATACTAGGATAAGTAAAGAAATTAAAAATTCGATAAAAGTATTATCAAAAATTGTGGTCCAATAGTATATGTGGATACTTTTACTTTTAGATGTATGTAGAGACTAGAGACTAGAGACTTTCCTAGGGATTTATAGGTGTATATAAATAGTGATTTAGACATGATTAATTTGTGGAGAGGTTGAACCTAAGTTAAATGATACTAGCATATAGAAGAATTTAAATGGTTAATAATAGATTCGTAGTATCAAAGGCTTAAAAATTTAATTAGAAATTTGCTTGGAATCTACTTTTCGTGAAAGATTCCAGCCAAGCATACACTTGGGTCTCTGTACGGACACTCCAAAACATAATAATCATTTAAGCAATTACGATCATTATTCTATCTCTTCTAGTATTAATAATAGAGTTACTCTCTTACTTTCTTGTTTGTTTGTTTAATGTTAAGCATTTATCGAATATTGGAGTTACATAAATACAACCTCTTTCAGACCATTAGAAACGAAAAATAATTGATGATGACAAAATGAAAAAAATAATACTATGGAAACTTATTGTATAGAAGAAATAAAATGATGAGTATATATAAATAAGTAGAGAAGCTATTAAATCAGTATAGACCCCTCACCTACGCTCTATAACTCTTTGACTCCTCTCTCTCCTGCTTTGCTCCGCCGTGAGAGAGAAACAAATGGGGAATTGTCAAGCGGCGGAGGCGGCAACGACGGTGATACAACAACCAGACGGTAAATCGGTTAGATTTTACTGTACAGTAAACGCGAGCGAAGTGATTAAGTCTCATCCCGGTCACCACGTGGCTCTCCTCCTCTCCTCCGCCGTACCTCACGGTGGCTCTCTCCGCGTCACTCGTATAAAGCTTCTGCGTCCTTCTGATAACCTCTTGCTCGGCCATGTCTATAGACTCATCTCCTCAGAAGGTATATAAATTAATCACACGGAACATGTTTCAACTTTGAAGTCAGGAAAGAACAGAACCCTAATTTTTAGGGCTTTCTTCAATTTGTTTCTTCTGCTTCACGTTTGATTACAATCATCATAGATGTAGTGTATGAAATCTACAAATCAGGATCAAAAGCCACAGTTTTAGGGTTCTAAACAGTTTTTCTCCTTCACTTATTGATTATGTTTCTTTGTTCTATTAATAGAGGTGATGAAAGGAATAAGAGCCAAGAAATCTGGAAAGATGAAGAAGATTCATGGAGAGTTTTCTGTTGCAGAAGAAGAGATTAACTCACTAACCCTAAGATCTGAATCTGCTTCTGACAAAGACACCCAGGTATATTATTACATACTACAATTTTCTCTGTATCAGATTGAAGTTTTAGTTCTCAGATTGAGACAATTAGAGTGTTACAAAGAATAACAGAGTTAGAGGTTTTGATTAACAGAGAAAGATACATGAAAAGCAGAGAGGGATGATGAACACAGGAGGAGCAACCAATAAAGTTAGAGCTTGGCAGCCTTCTCTTCAAAGCATCTCAGAATCTACAAGCTAAAACACTTCGATCGTTTTTTTTTTTTTTTTACTGTTGACTTTTTTTTTTTTTGATCATTTGATTTGTCTTTGTGTTGTTGTTTTTCCCAATCAAATTTGTAAAGGAAGAAAACCCATTTGATTGTGGTTGAAGAAGAAGAAACTTTTGTCATTTTGTAACTTAATAATAATAACTGAAGAAGATCCAAAGGATTTCTTTTTTCTTTCTAGATTTTCTTTCACGTTTTCAAAAATAGTTGTGTCATTGATCAAGTTTACAACTTTTGACGTTATTGATAAAATTGTACATGTTAACCAAAGACACTAGCTTGTCAACGTTTTGTGGTTTATTCAACTCTATTTTTTTGTTGTTTGTTTTTATTATTCATGTACCTTATCAATCATTACAAACATGCCATAAAATCCGAAGAAGAAAAGGAAAAATTGTTGTAATTAACAACAATACACACCTAACCAAACCATAGTATTTTCTTTTTGGGTTACAAGAAAAGTTGTTCATGACACATAAACATATCTTTGTATGAAGAAGAGAGAATCATTTTACATAGCTATCACTCACAAGATTACAAGTTTACAAATTGCATACAAGGCATATCATCAAATCTTTTCAGAACAGTAAAAAAAAGGTAAAAGTATAGTATATTATTTCCATATTTAGCCTCTTAAATACGACATCGTTTACCTTACACGTGCACACTCACCGACTTACAGAAGAACCCACACGTACGTTGAGGGTAATTAAGTCATTTTCGCATCGAACGGAATTGTCTGAGCGGAGAAGAGGAGTTTCCGTTATCCCTTTATATATCTTTCTTTGATTTTTATTAAATTATCAAAAAGAAAAAATAAATAAAAATAAAATAAAAATCTTCACGTTTCTTCTTTCTCTCTCGAGTCTCAAGCCACCAAATCTGAATTAGGGTTTTTGAGAATCTTCATCTTTTGATTTCAATTTTTAATCACCCACTGTGTAATTCACTCGTCAGGATTCATCTGTGAAATCATGATTTCAGATTCGATCACCAACGCTTCTGCTACTTCAGCTCCGAGAGATTCCGGGAAGAAGAAGAGGGTAACGTTATCTCTTCCTTCTTTCCTTAATCAATCTCATACCTTTCTCTCAAATTGATTTGGTTTTGTTATTGCATTGTGTGTTGCAGAACAATAAGTCGGCTAAGATGAAGCAGAACAAGCTTGGTCTCCGTCGTGAGCAATGGCTTTCTCAAGGTAAAAACTTCATCTCTTTCCTTTAAATGTTTCAATTGTGTGTTTTTTTGCCTGATTCGTTAGGTTAGATTTGGTATATGTATTGATGATTATGGGTTTTGGATTTTACTATTAGCTGCGGTGAGCAATAAGGAAGGTAAAGAGGAGAGGAGTGTTAATCGATGTGAAAAGCCTGATCAGAGAGATAACCAACCAGTGGTGCGTAGAGAAGATGGTAATAACGGTGGGAATAATCTTCATCATGAGAGTTTTATGGAGTCGCCTTCGAATAGCTCTGTTGGTGGTACAGATTCGAGCACTAACTTCAGTGGGAGAAGTAGCAGGAGTAGTAGTAGTAGCAGTGGCTTTTGCTCTGGTCATGTGACAGAAGAGGAAAATGTAGATGATGATGATGATGATGATGATGGGTGTGTGGATGATTGGGAAGCTGTTGCTGATGCGTTAGCGGCTGAGGAAGAGATTGAGAAAGAGAGTCGTCTCCATGAGTCTGCCAAAGAGCAAGAGAGTGTTGGACAATCAGCTTCTAATGTGTGTGATTCGATAAGGGATGCATCAGATGTCGTGTGTGTTAAAGATCCAGAGCAGGATTGCTTGAGAGTGGCTTCAAGGAAGCAAGAGAGTAATAGAGCTTGGAGGCCAGATGATGACCTTCGCCCTCAGGGGTTACCTAATTTGGCGAAGCAGCTTAGTTTTCCGGAGTTAGACAAGCGTTTTAGCTCTGTGGCGATTCCGTCTTCATGTCCCATATGCTATGAAGACTTGGACTTGACGGATTCAAATTTCCTGCCTTGTCCTTGCGGGTTCAGGCTCTGTCTGTTCTGCCACAAGACGATTTGCGATGGAGATGGGCGTTGTCCAGGCTGCAGGAAACCTTATGAACGGAATGCGGTCAAGGCTGAGACTAGTATTCAAGGTGGTGGTCTAACAATTCGGCTGGCTCGTTCGTCGAGCATGTTTTGCAAGTTTTAAAAGGAGAGGTGCGGTTTTCGCAAAACCATGTTGTCTTTTGGAACTCGAGAACTTGAGCTTTGTTTTCTATGTCATCGATGGTTCTAAGTCTGAAACACTGTGGTGATGATGTAGAGTGTGATGTGTGAATACATAAAGGTGGTACAGAAAATTCAAATACATTTAGATAGTTTCAATAATGATGCTATGTTCTCTTTTCGAATTCCATATCTATAGTATCTTAAGGTGTTTGGTCTGCGTTTGTTCCTTGTCAAACATTATTGAAGGTTTAAGAGTTATTTTGTTGCTATGGTAAATCTTCTTGGCAAGTTACTCATCATCACTAAAACTTGTTTTTTTAGAATCACCATTCACCAGAGGTCAGCTCTCATTACTTTTTGGACTCTATCTTCTGAGTTAATTTCGCTGTAACTCAACTTCTGATAAGCTATATATATTTGGCCAACAAAATCATTTTATTCATACATAAAGTGAGGCTTCTTATTAGCAGCTTCCATTGAACCAGCTTACAAATCTCTTGTAAGGAAAAAAACTATGATCTCTCTGATGAATATTATATAATATAGCTTTGCTCATCTCTATGCCATTTACATTACTACTATATGAATAAATCCGCTGAATTCAATCAGCAAAAAAAGCCGTAGGGGCTGGAAAATTGTATAGGTCATTAAACTTTGAGAGAATCATCAGTGTTAGGCTCAAGTGCATGAAGTCTTGAAGCTTCTCTGTATATAAAAAGCTTTTTCTAAGATCCAGTCATGGAATTTGCATCGGAGAGCTCAGATCTTCGCGCGTTTGAGCTGTGAGTGAACAGGGTAGGCGTTCTCTGTTTCTAGCTCTCTCTTCTGAGTACTCTTTGTGAAAGATAAATCTTCAACTTTCATTAGAGAATCTCTTAATCTTTCTACATCCGAGAGTTTTACTGGCTTCAGTAAGAAATCTTCAGCTCCTTCTTCAAGACATCTGAATGACAAAAAAAATCACAAGAAAAATGAATTTGAGTAAACTCCAATTTCAATAAAGTTGCTGATAGCTTTGGATCAATAAGTTTTTCGTTGTGTATGTAGCAAATAATCATAAAATGGCCAGGTCATAAAGTGAGTTGGCCATTGTGTGGGCACAAAACATATTCCTCTAATTGTATGCAAAGTGAAAAAAGCATGTGAGGTGGCTTTCACAATACCCTACCAAAGATTAGGCAAGCAAGATCATGTATTATTATTTTATTGTAATATCACATCACCAGAAATAGAATCAAATCTCATTGCTGGTTAGAAACATCTTTATACACAAAATCATCTTGGGACCTACCAAAGATCACCAAATCTTAACTTTTGATTAATTATGCAATAACCACCAAAAATGGTTTAAAGAAATCAACTTTCAACCATATGAGGAGGATCTTAACTTTGTGATCTAATCCTTTTTTAGATCTAGCAAGAATTCCAAGCAAAGAAATTCACCAAATTTACTATAGTTTGACTAATAAAACCATTAAGATATTGTATGATGAATTATACCTATCAATACGAGGCAAAATGTTCTCGGAGGACATAATCACCACCGGTACTTGTCTAAAAGCTGAGGATTCCTGTGGAAAATAACCAAAAAAGGATTAGATAAACATAATATTCAAACTTTTAACTCAAAAATTCGATTGACTAATTGAATCAATGGAAATTATATGCTTTTTTGCTTACTTTGATCTTCTTCAATAGTTCATATCCAGTCATACCGGGCATTGAGTAATCCGTCATAATTAAGTTAACCTTCAAATCCTGAAAATAAACAAAGCAAAATCACCATTAACAAATTGCTTGAGAGCTACGGCAAAAGTTCATATTATCTTGGAGATAATTATTTACCTCAAAACCAACGGATTTTTCCTCAACACCCAAACCAAGATATTGGAGAGCTCTTGTTGCACTGTCAACAACAGTAACTGGATAACAAAAACAGAGGTTTTAGTCAGATAAACCTGTCCGAATTGAGAGATTGAATATTCAAAAGATGAGTTCTTGAAGATATGATATGATAGTAATTACCTTTACAAGAAGAGACTCTGAGCAAACGCTCAATGAATTTCCGATCAACGTGACTGTCGTCGACGGCGAGAACATGAAGAAGATCCGGTGATCCAAACTTTGAAGGATCGTTGGGAATCTCCATCTTCCTCGGTAGCAAAACTTCAGCCATTGATCAAAGAATGAGAAATGTTGGAATTAAAAACTGGAGAAAGATATGATGTGAAACAATGGTGGTGGTTGGGCCATATATATAAGTAGAAAGAAAGAAACAAAAATAAAAGAGGGAAAAATTATGAATGAAATCGAGAGATTTTGCATATCTTTAAGATTTTGTCAATTGCTTTCATAATCTTTATTTTATTTTTCTTTATAAATAATAGTTCGGTGGCTTTTTATTTATAAATAAGTTTAAACTTAAAACCGACATAAAGTCAAACCAATCGGTTCAAGTTTAGTTAAAATGGAGAACAAACCAGAAAATTTGGAATGGGCAGGCTGCGTGATTCAACCGATATCGTTTTATCCGGTTCGGTATGTGTTTTTTAGCCAGATTAATTGGTTTACCAAAGTGTGGAAATCATTCATGAGCAAGTAAATTTTTATTCCTACGTTGTTTATATATCACATTAGGTTTTTCTTTCTTCTCTTCATCCAACTTGTTTTTTTAAATATATGACAATTCTCTTCTAACTTGAAGAGGATTAATCTTCTTTGAATCTCATAACAATGGAAGCAGCTATTAATAAAAGTATCCGAGCTAGCTATACAAGTGTATGCATGCTCTCATTGTAACCTAAGTTTGGTTTTCACAATAACAAGTAAAGTAAAGTTGTCAAAAAATTTCTCTAAATCTACAAATACTTGGTCGTTGTCTTGATGGATTTGCTTCCAATGCGTTCTGGCCTAAAGTTAGAGAAAGTCAAAACGCAAGCTGAATGCCTGAAATCGAATGTTTGCTTTTATTTTAATTTTGAAACATAAAGTATGGTGTTGTTATATGTTGCATAGCCCAATTTCAAAGCATAAAGATTATTTTCCTCAGGGAATGGCTCTGATAGCAAGAGTGTAGCAACCAGGAGCAAACTCCTCTTGTAAAAAATAGCGAGAACGTGCAATCAGCGAATTATACGCATACATAAAAATACAAGGAGCCAATATGTCTAGAAAATTTTGATAGCTAACTAAAGCCACATATTCCAATCTTACCATCTATAATCTATCAGAGAATAATGATTGGACACATTAATGGAACGAAAAGAAAAGTGGATCGTTAAAGATTCAGTAAAGAGAGCGACTAATATAACAATTGGTAACCAACTAGCCGGCTAGCTTCTACTTTATGTCCATATATCACAAGAGATTATGCTGCCAACAATCTTAATATCAATAGCTAGTAATCATGAATACAGTTTTTAGATTCAAATAAACCTTTTTTCTTTGTGTTTTCTCTTCATGATACTGATTTGGGTTGAGTATATCAACTTACATAAAATATATATAGCACAGAGATTACACTGCCAACAATCTTAATATCAATAGCTAGAATCATGAACATATCCACTAATTATCCCACTTTAATTTCTAAAAACAACTCTTTAATTATACAAATTAGTCGTAGTTGTCTTATTGAAATATTAATTATATAGAAACAAAAAAATAAATCATTAGCCATCCAGTTTGTTACAAAAAAAAAAAAAAAACCGTTAAAACTTCTTCTTCTTTATCGTCTCGCTCTTTTTCATTTCTTCGATAACTGTTTCCTAGATTTTTCGTCTCTGTTTCTCACCCAGTTCGCGATCTCTCGATCGGAAAAGATTCTTGCTGAGTTTTTCATTTTTCGTCTCTGTTTCTCGTCCAGTTCGCGATCTCCAGTGATGTGAAACACTAGTGGTATTCTTCAACGCCTCTCTGTTTCTTGCTCAATTTTGACACTTGTTTGTTTCTGTAGCAGAATCTTTCTCCTATTTGGTCGCGTTGGTGTTTTTTGTAGAAGACGAGTTTGTTTCCAATTTGGTGCATCCGATTATGATGATATCACGCAAAGAGCTCGGATTCATCTGTTTTCTGATTGCTTCTGTTGCGAATTTATCCATTGAAGGTATGTTGATGCTTTGATTTCATTAGAGATATTGATTTTGGTTTGTTTGATGCTTCTTCTAGTAGATTTACATAAGTGTGTTACAGTCATTCACATAAGTAGTTTATTTCCAATTATGATTGATATCACAAAAAAGGTTGGATTCATCTAGTAGAAATATATATAAATTTAATTTGTAACATATTGTGGTAAGACATATTAGAGTTGTGGTCTTTGGGTAATAAGATAACTAATGATGTTTAAAAACATTTTATATCAAAATAAGCAAACAATAAGAAAAATATAAGCAAAACATAAAATTAATAATACATTGATTATTTCGGTGCCACGATTTCTAAATTAATTTCTCTTTTTTTTTTCTTTTTTTTTCTGTTTTGTAGTTGTTGAACCAATCTTGACCCAATGGTTAATTACATATGTGTATATATATATATACGTAGATAAATTAAACATTGGTGAATGAGCCATGATGAACCTGGGAAAACAAAACCTGATATGATTTGAGTTTTTGAGCTCTAATGTTTTTTTTAACTATGTTCTCAATTTTTTTTTTGCCCAAAAAAAAAATATGTTCTAGTTTTTTTTTTTTTTTAACGGCTAAATGTTGTAAACTAAAAACCAAACGTAAAACTTAGTTAAAACTTTGAAATTGAGACCATAGCTAACAAAACAAAACTACTAAATCTGAATCTTCAATTAGTAAAACAGTAAAACCTCTTTAATTACCACCTTTTCATTCACCAAAAAAATAACAAATTAATTACTAAGGCCCGGCCCGGCTAATATGATTCGGCCCATAAGAGACAAGTTTTTATACTCCATAGTTAACGGTTTACTCAGTGAACCGGAGGGAGACAGAGAGATGAGGCCGGAGATAGTTCTGTTCGGCGACTCCATAACGGCTCAGTCGTTTAGATCCGGCGGTTGGGGATCTGCTCTTGCCGACGCTTACTCTCGCAAGGCTGATGTTGTAGTTCGTGGCTATGGCGGCTACAACACCCGATGGGCTCTCTTCTTACTTCATCACATTTTCCCTCTCGTCAGTACTCTTTACCTCTCGAATCTACAAATGTTGATTTGAAATTTGATCTACACACGAGTCCAATTTTGTTCATGATCTGATGTGGCTATGATTATGATTGAGTTTGAATCTGATAGATCTTGAGTTATTTGCTTAGGGCTCTTCGTCTCCTCCTGTTGCTACGACGATATTCTTCGGTGCAAACGATGCAGCTCTTAAAGGAAGAACCAGTGATAGACAACATGTGCCGGTGGAAGAGTACAGAGATAATGTCAGAAAGATTGTTCAGCATTTGAAGGTTTTGATATGATCCTCTCACTTGCATTGAAATGTCTTCCTTTAAAAACTAATGACTCTGTTTTGCAGAAATGTTCACCTACCATGCTAATCGTGCTTATAACCCCACCACCAATTGATGAAGCTGGACGTCAAAGTTATGCAGAGTAGGCTTTATTCTTTGCACTTAAAACATTTAGCTCCATACATCTCATAAACGAGCCAATGATTTTGTTGTTACATCAGATCAATCTATGGTGAGAAAGCTATGAAAGAGCCTGAGAGAACAAACCAAACAACGGGAATATATGCACAACATTGTGTTGCATTGGCCGAGGAACTTGGTCTGCGATGTGTCAACTTATGGTCTAAGATGCAGGAAACCAATGATTGGCAGAAAAAGTACCTAAGGTCTGTATCTAAATCTGATCCCAAAATGTTTTTCAGAAACATTAATCTCCTCAATCATGTATGTTTGTTGTTTATAAATGATTCTTGCTGGCTATAAGCAGTGATGGGTTACATCTCACGCCTGAAGGCAATGGAGTAGTTTTTGATCAAGTCTCGAGAGTTTTTAGAGAAGCTTGGCTCTCTCCTGAAGAAATGCCATTTGATTTCCCTCATCATTCACAGATCGACGGCGAAAACCCATCGAAAGCTTTCGAAGAACGTTGCTTATAAGATCGATCGATTGATCGATCGATCATCCCAAATTCATGAGTTTTGATTTAAATTCATGAACACGTTTCAATGTTGTCATTTAGAAAACTCTCCATGTGAATAAATATCTAAAAAGTGCATCATCACTAACTAGAGATCTTCTTCTAGAGGAATGAACTTTTATGATGTACTTACTATATGTTCTGACTTGTGAGTTATGTATACCTGCAATCTTCCTTGCTTATATTTCAATCTGAAAGTTTTTAATCTTCTTTTCAATGTCAAATATTCATTTCAGTCAAAATACTCGCATAATTTGATTGCTTCTCTACTACTGCTAGTAGTTGATGACGGCAAGAAAAAATTAAAGGGCCTTATACAGAAAAGTTAAGAGCCCAGTAGAGTTTAATTTGGGATGTAAGGAAATAAATTGAACCAGAGCAATTGGGCCTTAACCAAACTTGCCCAATCTCATTAAGATCTATCAAACCAGTTGGTTATGATCAATGAATATGACCGTACCAACGACCTGAGAGATCAATTAAAAAATTAGACCAGACCGAAAACCTAGCTTTTGTTTTGTGATAGAGAAAAAGAGACCACGAAGGACAGTTTACGTCAAATATTCCTCAAGTCAACGACTCTGTTTTTTGCTCTCTCTTCTTGATCACATCCATGGATAACATTTGGAATTCTTTGATCTCATAGTAGCAGCAATGAAAGAAGATTTTGCAATATATCGTGCATCTACATTCATCTGAAAATTTTGGAGTCGAAAAATTGAGTTATTCCATAGTTTTTGTAATCAGCTTTGACGTCACGTCATATAGAACTATATAAGTTACCAAAAGTAAATGGGGCACTACGTTTGACAAAAAAAAGAACAAGTAAATGGGCACTACTTATATATCAAGAAACATTACACCTCAACCACACGAACACACACAAAACGAAATATCTCTCTGAATACCCTAGTCAAGATTACTAATTAAGATTACTCTCGTAATTAGCCATCAATTACGAAAGTAAAACTGGCTAAGCAAACAAACCCATATATAATTTTAATTGCTTCTCTACTACTACTACTAGTTGATGACGACAAGAGAAAAAAGTTCCGATTAACTTATCAAACCAAGGAGTTTGTTTTAGTGGACGATCCATAGCCATTCATCAAACCATTCCACGACGAACCTAAACCATTGATATAACC